GGCGGCCGAACACGGGCTGACCCATGGATAACGGTGCTGACCGATAGATGGCCGTGTTGACACCATGGTCCGAATTGGTCGTGGCGCTATTCCAAGTGCGCACCACGCGTCCCGTAACCATATTAGGTAGCGGGGGATAGCGGTAAAAACCCGCACCCTACCGTATTCGGGAGGGTCGGTTGGCCGGTTGGTCAGAGTTGGGAGCTAAAAGAGATCTGTGACGTAGGGGAAGAAACGTGATCGCGAGACCAGGGCGCACCGTATACAAGAGGAAGCGGCTGACTACTCGGGGCTTCTTTTGTCGAAACGTAGTTTGAGAAAGGTGTAAGTTGCGTGATACGGTTACTATGCACTGTAATGCTTTTCTATTCGTTAGCGCACTGAGACTTTATGTATTGTATTGGAGATATAGATATAAAGCACTAGTGAACGTTACTTCTTGTCTTCTCTTATCTCTCTCTGTAGTCTATTACAGAATTCCACATCGTAGCGCAACCACGCGTCTACAATATAATACGTTTAGCATACACTACTCATCTTGCGCGATACTAGCGCCAAAGAAAAGTATCAATAATTTCACTATGCGTTGGGGAGAATCAGGACGTTGACTAAACTGGGCGTTTCATAATAATCGAAGCGAAGCCTTGGAATTAGATTTTCTTAAATTTTCTCATGAATATATTCCCCTCTATTCTGAACACTCAAAGGCTCACGACGATTCTGAACACGCACGACAATGTCTCTTCGCACGTACTACGCTTGCGCAGATTCGTACACGAGCCTCTACGCTATAACGGTTGTAAGTTAAGTGCATATATCTCGGCGCAACATACTTCAGTATAAGGGCAATGACATCAGTATTTTCAGTAGAACTACTCCGGATGTAGTCTTCTGTAGTTATAAGAGAAGACATACTAACGAGCGTGATACGAGAAACGTCTAATGGACTGGCGCTTTTAATTTTTAACAGATATAAAGTGCTTATTATTTCGCGTAGGTTTCCCCGTATTGCCGCATGATAAATATTATCAAGAGCGTATAAAGAAGGCCTTCTTTATACGCTCTTGATATTATCTTGTATGACTGTACTCACACAAGTGTATAATAGAGAACGCGCATTCAAATGTACAATACGCGCAGTAACAACCTGCTATGTAACAAACGGTAGATAAGCTGACTGTAGACAAAGTGAACTGTAGACAAGAACTATAGGCAAGAACGAATATCATATGTTTTACATACAATGTCATTTATTATTCACGTAATAATACAACGTCAGAAATTGTCATCCATCAATACACGGTTGACTGTTCTCTTTTCTACGTGGAATTCATACCGGGTATACACAATACAGGTTTAAAAGAAACTAGAGCACAGTGTTAATTATTATCAAGATCTAGAATAAACGAATGCACACGACGATACACGATGATACACATCAATGTCCTAACCGTAGTTACATTTATGTACAAGCTAGACGTATCGCGTCGTTGTTTTCGGTAAACTAAGTCACAGTTGTGTGGCGTATTTACAGCATGGCATCACTAGCGTCGTAAGACGAACTCGTTCTCCCTCGCTCTCTCACTCTGCCTCTCTCTCACGCTCTCTCCCACGCTCTCTATCTATATCTCTCTATCTGTCCCTCTCTCCACCTAGCTACACCAACGGGTTGTCATCGTGACTCGCGCAGGATCCCAACCACGACGCCGCTGTGCCAGCAGGTGGCAGGCCGCCGCCAGATGCGGGCGTTCGGTCGGGGTTCGGGTCTCGGGCGCGGGCAGGGACCGAGCCCACCACCTCCCGGCGCCAGTGCGATGGGGCGCCAGTGTGCGAGCGCACCGGTGCCCGTCACCATCACGGGGAGTGGTCGGGGATGCCCGCGAGCGGACACGTTGAGTCGGTCGGGACTCCGGCGACTACTGCCACCGCGGGTCGTCATGTGGGATGCAGTCACGCAGACCACCTGCGAAGTCTGCGACTGCATCCACCCGGTGCATCCACCCGGTGCAGGCGCTGTCTCCGCGACGGTGTCCGTGGCACGAGTCATCGTGCTCCACACCGTCGTCGAGCAGGCATGCGCCGGCCTCGGCCACATCATCATCGATTAGGTATACGCCGGCCTCACCCACACCGCCGTCGTCGAGGGCGTACACGCCCCGCTCGCCACCATACCCACCACCATACGGCAACGGGATGGCGAGCGCCGCATACCCGCCGCCACCGCCACGATATCGAGCGAATGACGACGAAGACGAAGGCAACTACGACGACTACGACGACGAGGCCGGCGCCGGCGCCGACAGGCTGCGTCGGCCAATCTACGTTATTATTCTGCCTCGCTAACCCCCCCCGTTCCACATAGCCCTTTTCCCAACTTTATCCCTTCCAGCTCTCTCGCGCTATCCCTTCCTCTATTCCGAGCTATCCTCTCACGCTTTTCCCTCCTCTCCCCTAAGGCAGAATGTGTGGTAGAGTAGTCCGTCATTGTCATACGGAATAGTTATTAGTTCGTTGTTTGGTGAAGGGGTAGAAGTTGTAAGGAAGTAGTATTGCGAGAAAAAAATGTAATAATAAAATAAAAAGGGGGAAAAAAATCAAGTAAAGAATAAATAGATAAATAGATGTTGTTTACGATACGATCACTAACCGGAATGCGGTTGTAACCGCACGGTCGCTGTCTACCGGGAGGGCGCTATTGCCTTGTGTAAGGTTGCCAGTGCCAGTACCAGTGCGCTGCGCGGTAGTTTCAAGGAATTCATACTTATACGGCATATTTATTTGCAAGTAGCGCGTTATATATTGGTTCGGTTTTTAGAAGCACCTAGATGTAAGGTAGCAACGGTTTTCGTTCGAGACTACCAGTCGGTTTTTATTCATTATAGTCGAGCCGCGCTTCTTCTGCTACGTCACTAATCGATTGTCCCCCCGGGCGAACTTCTTTTCCCCATTTACGACAGACAGGAGTCTGTCACGTGACGATGTGTGCATCGTCCTGGTAGGGGGGGAGGAATGTAAGCGGGCAAGGCCAAACGCTGGGGAAGGTGATGGCGGATGCGGGAATGGTGTTGGGGTGATGCATGACACGGGAGCAGCGAGTCAGCGGTCGGCACAAAGATCAAAGAGAGCGACTCGAGATGGCGCCAGCTAGGCTGGGAATCGCAGTCATGAATCTCCGGAGTGCGACAGGCGGCCGCACATGGGCTGACCTATGGATAACGGTGCTGACCGATAGATGGCCGTGTTGACACCATGGTCCGAATTGACCATGGCGTCGCGCCAAGCGAGTATCACGCATCCCGCAACCTTATTAGGTAGCGAGAGATAGCGGTAGGAACCCGCACTCTACCATATTCGGGAGGGTCCGTTGGTCGGTTGGTCAGAGTTGGGAGCTAAAAGAGATCTGTGACGTGGGAGAAGAAACGTGCGGATCGCGAGACCAAGGGCGCACGTATACAAAGAGGAAGCGCTGACTACTCGGGGCTTCTTCTGTCGAAACGTAAGTTGAGAAAGGTGTAAGTTCGTGAAACGGTTACATATGGCACTGTAATGCTGTTGCTAATTCGTATAAGCGCAGCTGAGACTTTATGTATTGTATCTGGAGATATATGATATAAAGCAGCTAGTGAACGTTAGCTTCTTGTCTTCTCGTTATCCTCTCCTGTAGTCGATTACAGAATTCCAAGCATCGTAGCGCAACCACGCCGTTGCTGACAGAGTGAGGAAGAGGCTTTAGCATAGCACTATCATCTTGCGCGATACAGCGCCAAACAAAAGAAGTATGCAATAATGTTCACTAGTGCCGTTGGGCGAAACAGGGGACGCTTGACTAAACTGGGCGTTTGCATAATAATCGAGCGAAGCGCTTGGATTAGATTTCTCTATAAGTTGTCTCATGAATAGTATTCCCCTCTATTCTGAACAGACTGAAAGGCTCACGACCGACTCTGAATCGCGACGACCAATGGTCTCGTTCGCACGTACTACGCCTTGCGCATTCGTAACACGAGCCTCTACGCTATAACGGGTTGTAAGTATAAGGGCAATATCGTCGGCGCAACATACTTCAGTATACAGGGCAATAAATATCAGAATCTTCAGTAGAACTAAACTACCGGATGTAGTCCTGCTGTAGTTATACAGAGAAGACATACTATACGAAGCGTGGATACGAACCAACGTCTAGATGGACTGGCGCGCTTTATTTTTAACAGATATATAGTGTCTTATTATTCGCGTAGAGTTCCCCGTAGATGTGCCGCATGACTAAATACTTATCAAAGCGTAAAAGAAGCGCCTTCTTTAACGCCTCTTGATAGTTGTCTTGTATGGACTGGACTCACACAGTGAGAATAGGAAGACGCGCATGGAGAGAGAGCGAATACGCGCAGTAACAACCTCTAATTAACAGAAACGTAGATAAGCTGACTGTAGACAAAGTGACGCGTAGACAAGAACTATAGGCAAGGAGCGAAAATCAGTCATGTTACATAACAATGTGCATTATTAATTCCGTAAAATACAAGTCAGAAAATGCGTCATCATCAAACACGGTTGCACTGTTCTCTTTTCTACGTGGAAATTGCATACCGGGTATGCACAATACAGTTAAAAGAAACTCAGACGCAGCAGTGTTAATATACAAGATCTAGATAAACGAATGCACCGCCTATACACGATGATACACATCAATGTTCTAACCGTAGTAACATTATGTACAAGCTAACGTACGCGTCGTTTGTTCGGTAAACTAAGTCAGCAGTTGTGTGGCGTAATTCTACAGCATGGCATGCACGTAGCGTAGTAAGACGAACTCGTTCTCCTCGCTCTCTCACTCTGGCACTCTCCTCCTCACGGCTCTCCTCCCGACGCTCTCTACATCTATATGCTCTCTATCGGTTCCTCTGCTCCACCTCGCTACACACCACGTGTCATCGTATGCGGATGACGTGATGGCGGCGGCGAACGAGTGCGGCGATGACGATGGATGACGAAGACCGGCCGAGACGCAGCGCCGAATCCGAGCCGCCGTACGCAGACGCTATTGCGCTGCTGGCGTGGCGCAGCTGCAACAGCACAAACTCTATGAACGCATTCAGTCATGTAGCAGGTTTGCACGAGAAGAATTAACGAATAGTAACGTAAGAGACGAGAGTGAGAGAGAGTATCGTGGCGAATGATATGACATGATGTCATTCATAGCATATCGTTCATATCACATCAATATCATACATACCAATGTCAATATCATATGACCATATCAATACTATACATGCGAGGGGAGTAAAAGATGTGAGGTCAGAAGTAGGCGACTAGACCACTGACTGCCTTTCGCACTCCTGTGAGTGCGCGATACGATCAGAACGCATGTCCTAGATGAGGGCCATTATGGTACGATGCCTACTTCTCCTGTAGGTAACGCGTTGGTCATCGAACGCGATCTCTGCCAACTCACGCAGCTAGGAATGCATCGCTCGTATAAGCCTCACTCCGCCTCCTCCCCCGCTCCCCCAGGCCGCCACCTCGACTCCTCCTCACCGGGCGAGCACTGGAAATAACGAGACGAATAACGTAAATCAAATAATGTTGTAGTAAGATTAGATTTACTTACTATTATAGTATATATTTTATAAAAAATAACTAAATAACAATATTATATATATATAATATATATTATTATTAATAAATATTAAAATATATCGTGCAACCCCCCGGGGCAGGGCCGATGACTTTAACCGTCGCTCGCAATCGAGGCCAACAGAACAAGCGAACGTCCTGGCAACAGGAAGGCGCACGATGTTGGCATCGGGGAAACTTGAATGCGGAAGGCGATGCGCACATCTCGACCGGGACCTGTCTCTGCGATGTTCTTCTGTAGGCTTCCGTCTGTATGATGTCAATCGACTAGACGGAGCGGTTGACGCACAGCTGCGAGGACCAAAAGTAATTTAAATACGCTATCATTAGTGCGTTAATTGCATTCCGGATATATTTACTCGACAGCTATAGAGATGTGCACGACCGGAAAAAATAGGGCACTACAATTAAGCAAGCAATCGTTATAATTAAAATACGTTAATTAAATTCCGTGAATATAATCGCGCAGTTGGTTAGAGGAACACGATCAATATAAAGCTACAAAAACAAAAATGGAAACAATACGAAGGCAATTGATGCAAACTGCCGCATGTCGTAACGGAAACGTCGTTACTTCCCCAATAGACGCATACGTTTGAAACTGCCGTGTTATCGATTAGTTTGCCTGATGTTTCGAGTAACTCACTCGGCGCTATCGACTAGTTCCACCTGGAAGCTGCGGCTGTCGTCGGCTGCGCGGGAAGGGCGCGACAGGATCGTAGAGAAAATGTTTTGGGATAGATACGTGTCGGATGAAGGCATAGGTGGGCAGAAGAGTTGGGCGACGGGCGAGGCGTACACGGAGGAGGAGTGAAGAAACAGCTAAATGCTGGCACAGATAGCTGACGAAATGGAAACGTTTATGCACTATAATAATAAACACGTGTGAGGAAAATATGTGTAAACATGCATGGTGTTACATACAGTTAATTACGGCATGAATTTTTGATAGATTGCGTTGTAAAGGCTATATGCCTATCGAAACCCTTTCAAGTTAGCACAATATTGAGTCGCATTCAAAGCTAGGTATTGAGGTAGGCCAGACACGTGCAAATATGCACTTAGCGTTGTGGCAAGAAGCGTGTAAGACGAGTGGTCGGGCGCCTAGATGCTGAGCGAGCGGTGTATGACGACGTGTCTGCGCACCGACGCTAGCAACTGAACACGCAGCCACGGCAAAAAACGATGTATTATATCACATAATACAATCAATCACGGAGGAGAAACCTGAATCGTATTTAATAAACCTCTTCTAGGTTTTCTTTTTAGCATTTCGGATTACTGGCCGCACGCACGTTACCTCCGAGCGGAGAAACAGAGGAGGGCCTAAAAAGAGTACACTGCGGCGCAGCAGACAAACTGCAAAAAGATTTCACGGAAAGCTGCGAAAACTCGCATAAACTCTGAAAGCAGAATAGACACGGTAGCAATGCACTACTCGGCAATCTCCGGCCTAGCAAGAACGAGGTAGGCAGAGGTTGGCGCCGATGTCGACGAAAGGTTGCGGGTGTCCGTCTG